CCATGGGATGTTCCGCAGAGAAAAGGGGCAGCTTTTGTCCCCCATGTGCCTCAGCATATGGTCCCCGCTGCCCCGGGCCACAGCCCTCCCCTTAGCCTAGGAAATCGCTGTGTTGGCTGCCAGTTCGTTGTTTTGATGTTTCCCTCTGGGCTTTAAGAGGAAATGGATTTTTAAAAAAATTATATAAAAAAAAGACAAAGCAATGATGGCTGCAGTCCAGGGAGGAGGTTTGTCTGAAAATCACAGAATCATTTTTATTGGAAACGTCCTCCAAGCCCATTGAGTAGAGCTGAATCAACCCAGCACTGCCAAGGCCACCCCTGACCGTGTCCCCAAGTGCCACATCCCCACGGCTTCTAAACCCCTCCTGGGATTGGGACTCCACCCCTGTCCTGGGCATTTCCAGGGCCTGAGCCCTCTTTCCCAGAGGAAATTCCCCAAATCCCCCCTGTCCCTCCCCTGGCCCAGCCTGAGGCCGTTCCCTCTCCTCCTGTCCCTGTTCCCTGGAGCAGAGCCCGACCCCCCCGGCTGYCCCCTCCTGTCAGGGAGTTGTGCAGAGCCACAGTGTCCCCCCTGAGCCCCCTTTTCTCCAGACTGAGCTCTCTCCCAGCTCCCTCAGCTGCTCCAGATCCTTCCCTGGCCCAGYTGCAGATCATTCTGCAGTTGTATTGAGCATCAGGGAATGTCCCATCTATGTCCCGCTGGGATTTCAGTTTCACAGGATGCTGCTTTTGCCGTGGGCTTTGAGGAAAAAAGGACAACAAGCACTTGGAAGGGACATCAGGGAGCATGGAGCCAACAATGAAGGCTCCTGGAAAAGGGGTTGGTTAAGATAAGCGTGGTCTGTAACCCTCCCTCCATTGCTCAGGCTTTCTCTGATCTTTCTGGATTCTCTTGTCACCTGAATTTTTACAGCCAGGGTCTTCAAAGTGGGGACCCAGGGCTCCCCTGAGCTGAGAGGGCTTAAAGAAGTCCACCTATCTAAACAGGAACAGAATGCTGAATGTTGATGTTTCCCCTGGAATTAAATCTGATMACTTCCAAAGTAGCTTTGGCTCACTTAAACAGCTTTTTAATATATAGAGAAAATTGAAATTTTTATTAGACTTCAGGGCATTTAATATTGTGCTTGGATTTATAATGGAGTGTAAAATGAAAGCAATTAAAGCAATTAAAAAGRAAAGGGAGTCTCCTTGAAAGAAAAGCAAAAATATTCAAATGGCTGCATTTTGGGAAATGCCTTCAAAGGAAGGTCATAGAATCCAGAMTGGTTTGA